CCCCAAAACCCCAAAACCCCAAAACCCCAAAACCCCAAAACCCCAAAACCCCATTAGATTATTTAAAGTTGTTGGTATTCAATATATTATTATTTTATAGATTGGCAAATCTATCCCCAAAACATTTTAAACAACATTATGGAACAACAAGAGTAAGTCACATTTATAGGAACGGTCTTCTTAGTGGTTGGTTTAAGCCAATCAATCTTTGGTACTTCTTGTCTCCTCTTCTCATTATGACAAGTGAAGTTAAAAATATCTTGATGAAAATGGTCGTGCTAAACTTTTTATAGCAAACAAGAAGTTCATGAGGAGCAACCTCAAAGAACTGAAGACGAAACCAAGGTAGACGGTGAAGGAGAAGAAGAAGACCAATCCATCTTCGAGACTAACTGGGATGAATCAGTTGAGAAATTTGATGATTTAGATCTCAAAGAAGAGATCCTAAGAGGAGTGTTTGGTTACGGTTTTGAGAAACCATCTCCTATTCAGCAGAAGGCCATTCTTCCCATCTTACAGGGAAGAGATACCATCGCACAGGCTCAGTCTGGTACTGGTAAAACTGCAACCTTCACTATTTCGACCTTGCAGATAGTCGATACTTCATCAGACCAGACTCAGGCATTGATAGTAGTCCACACCAGAGAACTTGCTTACCAAGTTTACAAGGTTGTCGAATCTATCGGTGAATACACTGGAGTGAAGGTCCATGCCTGCTGCGGAGGTACTGCCGTCAGAGACGATATCAGAAAACTCAAGGGAGGAGTTCAAATCGTCGTTGGTACTCCAGGTAGAGTTAAGGAGATGATGAAGAAAGGCTTCCTTAAGACCGACTACCTGAGACTCTTCGTTTTAGATGAGGCCGATGAAATGCTCTCAAGAGGATTTAAAGAACAAATCCAAGAAATTTTCAAGTTCTTGCCAGGAGAAATTCAAATTGCTCTTTTCTCCGCTACTATGCCTCCGGATATTCTCAGATTGAGCGAGAACTTCATGAGAGACCCAGCTAGAATCCTTGTTAAGAAGGACGAGTTGACTCTTGAAGGTATCAAGCAATACTATGTTCCTCTCGATGAGGAAAAATGGAAGTTTGATGTGCTGATGGACTTGTACATGAACTTGGAAATCAACCAAGCCATCATCTACTGTAACACCACCAAGAAGGTCGATGAGCTCACTAAAGATCTCAAGGAAAAAGACTTCACTGTCTCAGCCATGCACGGAGAAATGGATCAAGTAACCAGAGATTTGATCATGAGAGAATTCAGAACCGCCACTACAAGAATTTTGATCTCTACCGACTTGTTGGCTAGAGGAATCGATGTCCAACAAGTTTCAGTCGTCATCAACTACGATCTACCACTCAAGAAAGAGAGCTATATTCATAGAATTGGTAGATCAGGAAGATTCGGTAAGAAGGGTACTGCTATCAACTTCGTCACCCCAAGAGATGCTGATTTCTTGAAGGAAATCCAGACCCATTACAACACCCAGATCAACGAATTACCAACCAACTTGGAAGAAGTATAAACAGCTAGCTCAGGCTAATATGATTGCATAATTTCATCGATAATGAATTGTGTACACAATCTACTTTAAAAAAACGAGCTGGAATTTGGCTGGATTGATTTATTCAATTAAATTTCAGCAATAAGGGGTTTTGGGGTTTTGGGGTTTTGGGGTTTTGGGGTTTTGGGGTTTTGGGGTTTTGGGG